AGTGAACCGTGCAAACAGTCGGTACAAGGTCTCAAGTCTATGCTGTGATTGTGGCAGGACTCGCACGCCTGATCTCGTACCTTTGCGTCTGCAACGTGGATTGGTCGGCCGGTTGACTTGGTGGCGATTTCGTTGTGAATGTGTTGTGCGATGAATTGCAGGAGCCCGAGAAACTGTCGTCTGTGCTAGTGGCCGACGAGACGGAGAGCACCTACTTCGTGCCGGAGACGATGAGCGTTTGGAACGTTCTTGAAGAGGCGAGTCGGATTCGATTGGTTGATTGATCACCCTCCTTGTTTGTTGTTGTTGTAATGCGGTCCGCTCGGTGTCGTTTGGCGCGGTGTTTTCCTGGCCTGGTCTCAGGTCTTGTGTTAGTGTCATGTTGTGTCTTCTTTGGTCACGTGTGTACTCCAAATGATGATGCTGCGGCTGTTCAACCAGTATGCCGTGATTGCGAGGATGCAGTGTCAACAAGTCAAAGGAGGGATAATACGCGAATGGTGCAATGTGAAAAAAACAAGAGATGTGCTGAGAGATTTGGTTGTTGTTGCTGATGTTGTGTTGTGTTGCCGTTTGTCCTGCTTTGTGTTGAAATATTTGTTGTCTGAATGCCCGCACCGCCTTTAATACCTACTCCGATCGCAAGGATGTCAAAAAATGAAAGGAAGAGATTGAACGCAAAACGCGTCGTGTGAATAGCAAGAACTGGCTGAGCGATCAACACCCCACCGCCCACAGAACAGAGTGGAGGCTCTCGCCTCTTTCTCTGCGACTATCCGTCGTGAACCGCAGTCCGGTCTACACGCCTCGTCAATGCTTGCACCTCGTCGTTGCTTGTTTGATACGGACATGGATCTCTGTTGCCCCTCTCAAGCGGCTAGCGAGCCAATCATCTCTGTCATCGAACCAAAGAGCCTCGATATACCGAAACTTCATCCATCATCCACTTTCCCGCTCTGCTTCTACGCGTGATTTGACTCCCCCGGCGCCGTTCACTCTTCTCACACGGTACACTGGGGAACGTTGTCTGACCGCTGGTGATGTTCCGATGCATGGTTGTTGCGCGTGTTTTTTTTTCTGTCTCGTTCGGCCCTTGCGCTCCCCCCTCCCCCCGTGGGAATAATGCCCCGTGTTCTCGAGGACGCATGTTCAATGGTCTTACAGCAAAGGCATGCAAAACATGAGTTCCCCCTGTGGGAAAAGGGCTCCGTCCTCTCGAGGACGCGTTGCCAATTGTCTTATCAGTTAAGGCATGCAAAACAGAGTTCCTCCTGTGGGAAACGGGCTCCGTCCTCTCGAGCCTCTCGAGGACGCGTTGCCGAGTGCCTTATCAGTTAAGGCATGCAAAACATGATTACCCCCCCGCCCCCGCCCCCCTGCCGCAGATGCGCCGCAGGCGTTTGCATATGGCCATTGTGGTGGACGAGTACGGGGGCACTGCCGGTGTGGTGACGCTGGAAGACATCCTGGAGGAAGTGGTGGGTGAGATCTACGACGAGAAGGAAGATGACGACTTCAGAGAAGAGGAGCACTACATCAACGTCAACGAGGTATGCACACGTTGCTGATATTGGGGAGGGGGTGTACTCATACTCATATAAACGCATGCTGTAGTTGGTAGACCACACACGTAGAGCTGGACAATGCCGGGACGGGTCGACAGGCCGGGTTTTCGCCGGCCCGGGAGGCTACGTTTTGCATGGATGAACCAGAAGCGATAATCATCCTGGTGTTTGCTGAGCCATACCAGATATGTCATGACAGTTGCTTGGGGGGGTTGTTTAGCCTGTTTAGTGTGGTCTTGCGGTGTGGGTGGCCAGGCCTTCGTTTGTATTTCATTCTTGTTTTCGTGTCTTTGGCGGTCGGTCGCTTCCAAAAACTCCAGGAGTTACAGATAGCGATGGACGTGTGGCAATAGTATCAATGTTCCTTTCAGACAGGCTTCCGTTTTATCAGTTTTTCGTGCACCCACGCTTTTTCCCCTCTTTTTTCAACGTTTCAGTCAATGTGTGTGAACCACCCTGGTGTCGACAGCCATTGCATGTATCATGTGTTTGTTATTGTTTTGCTGACTCTTTTGGTGTTCTCCTTGCAGGATGGAACCTTCACGATTCATGGCATGGCGGACCTCGAGGATGTATGCACCTCGCTCGCTTTCCAGGAGGTATGTATTTAGTGACAGGGGCATCGTGCTGCTGCCGTCGATGGTTGTGGTTTATATGATGGCTCTGTCTCTTGAGGATAAGTGATTGTTTTTTTTCGTTTCATCCGTTGCGGTGGCGGCTCGATGCAAAGGTCATGCTGTGCTTGGCGATTGATGTGATGCTGGCCACTGATATCTAAGTCTGAACAGCCCCTGTTCATTGATTTCATGTGCGGAGAGGGTCGGCCGTACCATCGCGGTAATTTGAAGTCGTTTGGTTATTATCGGAGTCACGATGATGCACTTCCTGTCGCACGCGTGACATGGGGCGGTGGTTGCGGTTTGCGCCTGCCTATCCGTGCAGGCTCGTGCATCGTTGTTGACTGCTGTTTAGGCCAACCCCACCCAACCCCACTGAATCCTAAAGCCGTGGAGGTAGGGAGCTGTTGCTGTTGACGGAAAAAGTAAATCCAATGGCAGTTGCTACCTCCCGCCGCCCTTGTCTTTGTTTTTTTGGATGGGTGCATCATCAGGTGAACGAGGACGACTTGAAAGAGTTCGGGACCCTGTCCGGCTACCTGTGTAGCCAGGCCGGCGAGATTCCGGCTGTGGGGGACTACGTCGTCGTCGGCGGTTACATGTTTACCGTCACCAAGGTGGGTTTTACCGTGTTGCGTTCCAGATTTTCATTTATATGTTCCGCGGTTCCGGCCAGGTGTACCATGTTGACGGCTACCGAGAGCTTTCACCCGGTGCTTCCCATGTGTAAGGAGCAAGGGCGAACCCAGTTCTATTTTCCGTTTGTTAACCGTTCGGCGTGCTTCTTGAACGCACGCACCAGCCGGGGCCACACAAGAGTTTTGTTTGAAGTAGTACTGCAATGGTGCACCTTGCGGTCCTATTGGTGCTGGCACGCTGGTCCCACACCCTGTCGCCACCACAAGTAGATGGTCAAACGACTGGATGACAGCCAACAGCTGTTTATTTCACCCGCCCTCTCCCCGGCCGCGTCAAACACCCCCGAATCCTTTTCTTGACGCCATGTATTTTTGTTTGCGCCCCATGCGTCTCCTAGGCGGATGAACGTCGCATCGAAGAGGTACACGGCAGGCTTATCGGGGCATCGGACGCCCCAGACGCGGGGGGGGCGGGGGGCAGCGGGAAGGGGGGGGGGGGGGGGGG